AATAATTTTCACGATTACTGTTGTAAATCCTTTGAGTGAAATTAACTCAGGAATATATGGAAGACTCTATTTAACTAAATTTATTGATTCCTTCTAAAGGCACACTTTGTCTGCGACCACCGAGTAATAAATTGGACTGTAGCAGTCTTTCATATAGTTTCAATATGAGTATCGTTACTCGCAAAATAAACAATTATTACTGGTTAAATAGGTTATTTTATGGCCAGAATAATGGTAAAGATGGTGATGAGAGCTGAATGAATTATTTGTTTTTAATATAGTTATGGCAAAAAGGAACCCTGGCCTGCAACGAACCAACCAAGAACCTATCGCTCAACAAATATTCGAAAGGAAGTGGAGATGGATTGGGCATGCACTGAGAAGATCATCCGGGGACATCATGCGTCAGCCAGTCAAGGCCATCGAGTGGAAACCAGATGGGAAAAGGCGAGTTGGACATCCGAGTATGACATGGAGGAGATGATGTGAGGAAAAAATGAGAGCTTCTGAACAGTCGTGGAGCCAGGTTCAAAAGATTGCGGAGAACAGAGTGGAATGGTGATGTGCTACTGAAGCCGTATGTTCCACTAGGAACCCAAGGGACAAATAATAATAACATAATGATAACACAGTTATGAAAAATGAAAAAGTGCACGCTTTAGAGAATGTTGCAGCATTTACGCCGTGATCAATAGTCTCATGTTTAGAAGTTGAGGTCGAGAGCGTATCAGTGGTTTGTAACGTTAGGTTGTTCATTAACTGATCAATCGACTGAGGGATGCTTTCTTAAATCTCAGGCAACCAAAAAACCTTCCACCAACTATATTCCATCAAATTCTTTTAGTTTGTTTCAATGTTTTTAATGTCTTCTGAAAACATTATGTACTCTCAAACGTTTTTAAAATGTTTTTAAACGTTCGTTTCTCAAGCTAGTAACTAAACAAAGGAAAACGTTCTACCCGTCGGAAACGGAAATACACCATGTGCTGGATGAGTGACTAAACTACCATCATCAAAATTACACCAGACTTTGTGTTAATTCCCGAATCGAGAACAGATGTTAATGTAACACTAACTGCTTGTTTTACACTTATGCCTTCAATACTGTTATTAATAACACTATGCAGATATAACAATTACTTCTTTTGGAAATATTGTAAAGGAAATGAATTTTTTGAAATTTTGCATGCTGGAAATTTCATACTGTATCACACATGTTGAAATAAAGCGAATATTATTATCATATTATTATTACTATTGATAATGATTTAATCAGACAGTTACAACCCATATCCCTCTTACAATCTCCTATATTTTTGGCAAACGGATTATCAATTCTTCTATTAAGGGTAATGTTTAGGTTGTGTTTTACTTGCGCAAACCCATGCCATGCGCATACAGTCGCTATCAGTTTTGGATATAGAAAGTAGTGATAGCAACTGGATGAAGATGGACTAAAATGTTTTTATATCCTGACACGAAAACTCTAGTACTTTCTGATTCCAATTTGTTTGCATGAGTACCCATTTATGATAAGAAATATTGTGAAGTGAGATTTCAAACAGTAGTAACTAAGACTTCCTGTTTTCCCTGAGTTTTATCGCTGTTGTATTTGTCTTTAATGTTTGTCTTTAAGACTCCAGGTTAGTTACCATATTCGGAATTCAAATTTATGGTGTTCAGCATAACGGCAGACAACGATAACTGTCAGTTATCCGGACAACAGGCGGTATCTCACAGTGGCTCCACAACTGTCCATCAAAAGACATCATACTTTTCTTACCACTTTATTTTAGGCCTTTATATTAGAGTAGCAATAAGATTAAACATATCTTTCCAGTCATAGAAAAAGAAGAGGAAATTCAGCGGAGAAACTCTTCTTTATCGACGACGTCATTCTCTAGAGAATTATTTGTCAATACTGATGGCTGTTCAACACCTTTAAAACTTCTAAAGACTTTGACACATATTTCTCTCTTTTGTAACAATATTTATGCTGCCATATACCTACATGAATCTGTGAACACTTCACCATCAGCTTTTCCTAGGAACACTGCTGCTCCTATATTCCTTGCAACATTATAAAATGATGGAATAATTTATAAATCCTCATGTATTCAATCCGGGTACTTCCTTTCAGTCTGAGTCTTCCACTCATCTAATTTGCATTTTTATATCATAACACGTTAACAATAAGCCATCCCTTTATTCTGTAGTGATCGGAGTCAACGCATAGCATGCCAATTCATTATTAGCCATTTTCACATGATACGTTCAGCATTCACTAACTACCATCCTTTCTGTCAAGTATCATTTTTCAGCTACTTCCCATAAAGGCCTAACTAGTTCTCTCTCGTGATTAACAGACCCCTGCAACTTCATCACTCCTCAGTTTGCATGGATTACTTCAAACATCTTACAAGTACTCTTACTTCAGATAACGATGTCGGTGGGACTAAACATCCTCTTGAGATGCCTAGTGACAAAAGAGAGGTTTTCTTAAATGAGTACACAAATTATCATGAGTATTTTTCACTATTCATTCATACGATTTGGAAACAACATTGTTTGCAGTTTCAGATCAGATGTCCTTGTTGTCTGTCTCACAATGAATGTGCATGATACACGTACTAAAATAGTAAAGTATAACACATTACATACATATATATATGTATATATGTACAGGGTGTGGAAGGTAAATGTAATAGTTTCTTCAAAGCGAGGAAATGACACTGATGGAGAATATTTGTAACTCAGCTGGATGCTCTTCGTTGTGTTGTATTCTCTAGGCTGTGTGGTTTAATCGTGAAGATTTCATTGTCTTTCTTAACAAAACCTTGAAGCTGACTTCATGAAGTTCATATTGAAATGAGCAGTAATGATCTCTAGAAAGACAACGAAACCTTCAAAATTACACCATTTAGTTAAGAGAACATAACACAGTGATAAAGTGTCACCGCCGATGAAATATGGTCATCAAGTCATAAAGAAAAGAGGAGACAAGTCAGGGAAGAAACTTTTCTTTATCGACGACATCATTTTCTAAAGCACTGTACAATCGTAGTTATATATATCACTAACGTATAACAGTCTATCACTAAACAATTTGGTATGAACGCAAAATGAAGCCAGTGCTGAACATTGAAATGAAGAATGAAGAGTGGTAACGTTATAATCTTCTAGACAACAGAAATAATGAGAAAGGTAAGGAGTTTGACAAAATGAAAATTACCAACAGATGTGAAATGCAGATACTGATTGTTCAATGCATAGATATAAAGTAGGTGAAGGAGATGTGGATCATAATGAAGGTAGTGATAGGAAAGTAGCTAATTACAATGGAATCGAAAAGTTGTACATTAAGACCATCGTAAGATAAGAAACTTAGCATTCTTCTTCTGCATACAGATATTAGGCATGAATTTGTGAGTTTCCAGTAATTCTCCTATCCATAGCTATCGAAACGTACTCCTTTTGAAATATTTTCTCTGACTCGATAAATCACACTAAAATAGCACTCTGGCAGAGCTATATGTCCAGAGTTGACTAAATGTTTAAGAAGTGAACCTCTAAGTGACTTACATTCTCCCCTTGACAACCATACAAGACAGTGCTCAGAAATATGTCTGGGAAGTGTGCACATTTTGCAGCCTATATAATTAGCTCATTATTTCCATCGTCTAAAAGAGTATTGCGCAACTACTTTCCGTTCCTGATTTCGGTTTTTTAGCACTAGCTCATTGATGCAGTTATACTGTATTGTTTAATAACAGACTATTTTACATTCGTGATATCTATAAATACGATCATACGGTCTTAGAAAATGATATCGTCGATAAGGAAAATTTTCTTCCCTGAATTATCTCTTCTTTCGATACATATTTATTGGTTAAAGTGGAGTAATAAGGCAACAGAAAGTATTTGGCGTTTATTATTTCTGGTTCTTCATAGCAAATATAAATAACATTACTGTCTCCTTTATTACTCATTTTACTGATGTTACTATGAAGCTATAATCATTTCTGTAGACTATAAGCCTTAACGATCTGACATTCACTGTGTAAAAGTCTGGTTTTCTTGAGACATTTTCGTATGTTGAATTAAGGCAATATACTAAAGCCAGTTTATCAAGCCCAATACAACTCCTTTTTTACTCTATAGCACATTCTCACCTGTACAGACTTGTAAATAAACCAAAGTTATTCAATTCACTAATATCTTCAGTGGTCAGTGAAGCAATGCTACAACGCACTTGATTAAATATTTACTCTTCATATAAACCCCTTGAATAAAATTTGATGTATTAACAACGGTACCGTCATTGTCAAGGGTAGTTCAAATGTACAGAATTAGAATAGTCAGTGATACCACTTAAAGCGGTTAGTACTCAAGAACAAAGTGCGAAACAATAAAAACGCACTACAACAAAACCAATGGCTAAGCCTGAAACCGTAAACATATAAAGTTAACAACGTTTAAAGATTTATGCAACACTTTGAAAACAAACTGTTGCATAAGAATATCTTAAATGTAAAATACGAAACTGGCTAAAAAGGGAATGGGATAGCAGTTTAGAAAGGAGAAATTTCTTTCTTCGTTCACACCGCATTTCACTTTTGTTCATTCTGACGTTTGTATAAACAATGAAATTTGTATCTTGGGTACTTAGTGGAATATACGGCCTCAGTAGCACGTCTCCATTCCACTCTCTTCTCTGCAGTCTTTTGAACCTGGCTCCACGACAGCCAAAAAGCCTTCATTTCTTCCTCACACCATCTTCTCCATGTCACCCTCGCCTCAGACGTCCAACTCGTCGTTTCCCATTTGGATTTCGCTCGACGGCCTGGCACATGATGCTGACTTTATATCATTTGTACATTCTTGAAGAGGGGTACAGAATGAACTCTAGATACAGAAATGCTTGTCATATAATCTAGATTGAGTTAAAATAATTTTTGTTAACTATATACTCATATACAAACTATAAACAAATGTAAAGTATGTTAATAGAGCACCTATTTAATATACAATGCAAATTATATGGGGGAAGAAACTGTGACTATAATCAAATTGATGACGATGGGCTAATCACTGCTAATGAATTTAACCAAATAAAGGTGAGGTTGATTGATTGGTTTATGGAAGATAGAGTATGAATTCAAAAATAAACTAGCGATTTACAGATGCTTACATCATACTTAAGCTTTCAAAATGTACCGCCCTGTTCCTTTTGATGTGATACAGTTTTAAAACGAGGGACCAAGTGGACAGATTTGACTGGGTGAAATGGAACTGAACTGTCAACTTGTTTACAGGAAACATTCCATCTGGAGATTTGCGGAGATTTATTAACTGATTAAACTGATCTTATAAATCTCTACAAACCTCCAGATAGAATTACTCTGGCGCAAATTGGTGACTAGCTTAGGGAGGTGATTCCTGAAGTTCCAACGAGAAGTCGTGACCAGTGGAGTCAACCAAGCGGAACATGAGAAAAGTTACTCAACGATCACAGTAGATCATGAACTGAAAGAGGTAGGAAATATGGGCCAATAGATTCCCACCCACTGGCTCAATAGTAACGTGCTAGCCATGAAACCTTAAGGTCCTGGGTTCAGTTCGTGGCGGGGCGTGGTCATGGGTGCACATTGTTGAGCAGCCCCGTACTAGGACGAGGTAGCTGTCCAGTGCGCTTATGTCCCCATCATTCCTCAAATCGATGTCAGCACATAATAAATTTCAACTTAAAACCCGGAAATATGTTGATGGAGAGGATGCTCACTTGACCAACGTAATTAGTTTCGTTTGAGTCAGCCAACGTTTAGGTATCTCTTGATAAAGTTCCAAGTGGTAGCCCGTTGTTAAAATATCCATGAATTAATTGTTGAACTGAAAGACTTGTTCTAAGTTTTGCCACGTTTAATAATGTGCTGCTATATTACTTACGGATATGACTATCATAAATACAATGTGAGCGGATTTTGCTTACGCATGTGGTTTAGTAGTGTTTCGTCATAAATGTCTTTTTTTATTATAAGGAACCACTAGGTATTTTTGTTTGGTTCTGACGTTCTTTCCATAAATCTGTAACGATAATCATTTTGAATGAGCACCCATAAGAAATGTTATCATTTGAACAGCTAAGTCATATTTTCAAGGATTATGAATGAATCAGGTTTATTCATTGTCTAATCATGAGAATTTGCATATTGTGAGTTTGACAATGGCTATGAGAAAGAAAAAACCCAGTCCCTTTGTAAACAAGCATAAATATAGTGAAAACACAAGTCCACTTTATTATTATTTGTCCCTTGGGTTCCTAGTGGAAAATAGGGCTTCAATAGCAAGTCTCCATTCCACTCTTTTCTCTGCAAAACTTTTGAACCTGGCCCCACGACAGCCCACAAGCTTTCATTTCTTCCTCCCACCGTCTCCACGATGTCACCCTCGGACTCCCAACTAGTCGTTTCCCCTTTGAGTTCCACTTGAGTGCCTGGTGCGTGATGTCCCCAAACCGTCTTCTCAGTGTATGTTCAATCCAATCCATCTCCACTTCCTTCTGGATATTTGTTGAGCGATAGGTTCTTGGTTGGTTCGCTGCCAGCCAGCCAGAGTTCCTTCTTGCTAATTCTTATTCTTTCTCGCCATCTTAGCTTCAGTAACGAGTGTAGGTAGTTGATGATGAATGTCTGCAGTTTGTTAGAAATGCTTTTCGTAACAGACTAAGTCTTTCAACCATCACACAGAAGCACTGACTTGACTGACGTTGGTGTTGAAAATACGGATCTTGTTAAAGCCTTACGTTGAGTGCAGGAGATCTCCACACTCATTTCAGGTTAATGAACACCTGTCTTGTTTTTCCTATCCTGGCTTTCACGTCCTCGTCTGTGTCTGTGCCACCTGTAGTTGAAACGATGCTGCCTAAGTAGGTGAAAAAGCTACTTCCTTTAAGTTTTTACCGTTGATGGTGATTGGAGCTTGTTGTTATTGTGGTGGTGTTGGTTGGGTATTATCATCACCTCCGTCTTCTCTACGTTCACTTGAAGTCCCGCCTTCGCTACCCTGCTCTGCCTCTTCTGTCAACTTGTTAGTTTTCGCCTGTAGATGTTCGAGTTTGTGTGACATCAGGCATAAGTCATTGGCGAAATCCAATTGCTTGATGAACCTGAGGACTAACAAACCTCTAAATTATAACCTAAAAATAAGCATTTTTTATAGTAAATGATGAAAGTATTGTTTACACATATGTTCTACAGATGTAAATCTCCTTTTGTCTGTTATAAAACCTTGTTTTGCGGCAGTTTTGCAACAGTAATTTCAGCGGTGATACTACTGTTACGGCTTCTTATTCCTATTAAACGGTATTTCATTAAAACCAAACCTTAAGGAAAAAATAGGAGTGAAGTAGCTCTGTTTATTAATGTTCATGGAAATAGTTTTCATAGGCGATACACTTAGTAAATTAGATAAATATGAATCATTTGTTCACTTGATTAGCTGGACTGTCAACACATAATGAATCTAACTCACGTTAGCTACCCAATAAGTTCACTACAATTGTTTACCGTAAAAATCAAAATTACCAGCAGACATAAAGAAACGTAGATTACAAATCTGTTTACAATAACCACGCATATTTTATTCGAAATAGATCTTATTGAAGTGAGACATATATTCAGTAAAAATATCATAGGAATGATGAGGTAATTACATAATTAGTGAAGTACGTTAATCATCATGGTTTTATGAATCTCATGTTTTAAAACATTACCCTTAACTTGTATTAATTTTCTTAGGTAGGTGTAGTGTAAGAACAAACTGTTTTTGTACACATAAAGGTGGTTTAAATTTGTGTATGGTCACAAAGTTAATGTCCAAACAGCTTTCAAAGTTTTACATAGAAACAGTCAGGAACGTAAATAATACTGTAATAATAATAATAATACTGTAAATAATATTGTATCACTGTATGCTGTATATCGAATAAACAAATCACATATGGAATTACATTCTACCACAGTGCCCAAGTTTTACACTTATATTAGTCAGGAACGTATCCTGAGATTTGCGGAAGCCATAGCCATACACAAACTTTAACCACCTTTATGTGTACAAAAACAGTTTGTTCTTACACTACACCTACCTTGATAAACTTTGTTTTCTTACCAAGATTAGGATCAACTATGTCACTTCCTGTTGGTTCTCATCTTTCTTAATATTAATCCCCTATTGTGTTAATTGTTGTATTTGTCCCCCCCCAATGGGATAACAAACTGTTTTTGAACACATAAAGGTGGTTTAAACTTCTTAATATCTATGGTCTTAATGCATTTAAGGATTCGTCCCTAACCCGTTTCGTAAGTAGCTCTAAAGGAAGTAGCAATGTCATTTCTGCAACCCGTCTCAACGATGTGTTTCACGACCAGAAAACTTGAACTTCCGCTACCAAAGCTTAGGGTTCGAGTGACTAGATTAGCTTTGGAAGCCTCCTCTGAATATTCATCGAGGCCTTTACTTGCATGAATCTATGAGTCATCCCTGTGTATATGCCAACACATACACATTTGAATCGGTAGATACAATAGGATGTGATATTGTTGTTTACATGCTGTATGGGACTCAGAAAAATATACAGGCCTGGTGATTTCTTTCAATCGAACCCTAGGTGCATAGTAAGCTTCTCTAACAGCAGCGCCGAGTCTCTGCTTAAGGATTGGTCCATGTAAGTCGTTTTTGTATGGGAGACTGATGAAAACAAGTTTCTTCAGTTATTTTGTGCTGACTAATAAATTTTGACAGATAGTGTTTTTCCAACAATATTTCAGTCAATTTTCTTCTCTTAGCTTCCAAAGTATCATCTGTGCATATTCGCTGAATTCCACTGAACAAGGGTTTAACTTGCGATCACTTGTACTGAAGTCGGCAAAAGCTCTAACAGTTCATGAATTCGTTAAGACTGACAGATACATTTTAGTTAATTCTTAGCTGGTTGTAAGTGCATAACTTGTTCTGCATTTGATCAAATTTAGGAGCACCGTAGACATATGCTAAGAATATTTAAAAGGCAAATACTCCGTCTCAAGTTGTACCACTTTTCTGTATTTCCTCTAAATAATTATTTAAAGAATAAACAGCATTCCTGTCAAAATTAACAGGAATTAACAAAAGTGGTGAGGTAAGATAATAGTCGCCATTTATGCAAGAAAGAAGGAAGATTCCTTAAGGCTTAGATAATGTAACGTTTTACTCAGAACAACTTCAATAAACTTCAGCATACAAACTAATTTTGTTTCGCCTGTTATATTTTATTTCTGTTCAAATTAATTTATGGTGAGATGTTGAGAGTCAGTCAGCAGGAAGTCCTGATCCTCGTTTTTGTACTTATTACACTCATCAGTGAGATATATTTACAACCAAAGGAAGCTTATACTTGCCAATGATCCGAAGGTGCGTCATCCTGTTCACATACCAGAGACTTTACAATAAAGTTATTCAAGTTGCAAGTGACCTATTGTAGGAGTGCACCGCACAGTGAAATAATTCAGTTGTGAGTGTACATTTGGCACTTCAAAAATAAATTTTCAGCGATCCAATTGAAGGAAAGCATATTTATAGTAGATGCATATCCACTGTCAACTACGTGATCCTGAATACGGTGTTGAAGATTAAGGTCAGTATTTTTGCCCACTTGATTGAACTAACCGTGGTTTGTAGCCTGTTTCAATTTCCTTGATTAACACGTACAATACTGTTCCGCAACTATGAAAATAAATAAATTATTAACAACATCATTTCAAAGGTACTTTATTGAAATATTTTTGATATGAATATTAGAAACATCAGTCGTTGTAAAGTGGCAGGTGTTGATGATAATTTGTATCTAGAATGAACAGTTTTTGTTTTGCTTCAAGAAGTCTATCATTTTTCCACAGGGAAGTAGTTAGTCAAGTATACAAATAAGTAGTTACTTGAGTTTCTCTTAAGACTTCTTAATAGCCTGCTGTGATAAACAGGGATATAATTAGCTATTCCCATAGCTTGAAAATATTTATTTGAATTGATTGCACAGCTTAAATGATTCATTGTCTATTCAATGATCTTTCTTTCTAACTTAACTGACTAATTTCATCAGTGACTACGATGAATTTTCGCACTTCTTAAATGTTTCATATTTATCCTACCTCTTTCAGTTGGTAGATTAATTTTGGTGAACAGTTAGAAAACATTCGTGAAGTTTTTTATTGCAAGCTATCACTTTCTCATTTCGTGTTTAATTGTTGCTTTCATGATAAAATAACTTTATGATCTTGTATGAATGATCATCATACAAATTACGTTACCTTTTTCTAATATTCTGTTGATGACTAGTAGTAGTAGAGTTGAGGATGTGTTTTTTGTCTTATTTGGAAGTCATCAATCGGATTTATTTGCTTTTCGGTTGAGGAGTCCCAAATAGGACAAGACGCAGGCCGTGGATTCTATTGTTAGCCACTATTCATCATAACTAAAGTACACAGCTGTAATGATTCTTCCAACTCATCAATCATATTAGAAAACCTGACTGGTACTGTTTGACTAACAAATTGATTTCATATTTTGTCTCCTATCAAGTATTTTTCACTATACATTTAGTACTTTTACATTATTTATAGTTTCAAGGTGTTTCTCTTGTATTGATACGATTCACTAAACTTTTTCTTTAGTCAGTTTCATTTCATTATAGACAACTGATCAATTATTATCATGTGTTCCTAATCCCTTTGGATTCATTCCATTCTATGATCCATTTGAATGTAGCGCAGCGGTGGCAGCGGCAGCAGCTTATTCACAAAAATCTCATACAGATACAACAATTATATGTCTAGATAATAATATGAAGTGGTCTACTGTTATGTATAGTAATGATGGGCAGTGGCTAGCAGTGGAATCCAGGATGCACATTTCGTCCTATTTGGGACTAGTCAGCTAACTCGAAATATTATCCTACATCCTTTCAAAATGGTTTGAATAATTACGATTTCAGGTTAAAGAATTATGAAAATGATGGAAGAGGAAGGCGTGATATGAATTCAAATGATCATGATGATGTCAATAGTAAATATACTATTTCAGTGAGTAATGATGAGAATAAGTTGAATACATTGTCATCGTTGTATACATTGAATATTATATGGATTATAACTTTTTCGATAGTCAATAGCTTACTGATGTTTGAATAGATAAGAACAAATATTCTGAATCATTTTTCCAATCCAGAACCTCTTATATTTGCAATGATTTCTTTTCTACTGATATTTTCCTGACTTTCCTAACAGTTAGACATAATGACTTTAAGAAAAAATCTGTTCGCAGTCTACCTTCATCTTTAAAGGTCATATCAATATGGTTTCAGTTTTTGACATTTTCATCATATGGTGGGATATTGATGGTCTTTTGGTTATCAAGAACAATATTTTAGCACAAAATAAGCCTCACATATACCTGTGCAATTCAGAAGTAGTAATGCTTTTGAACCTCCTTGTAAGTCAAGCATGTTATGGCTTACTCTGACTCACTTTCACACAGTTAGTATACAACTTAATGTACAACATTTTTGTCTAGTGGTTCCTAATATGGGCGAAGTTTTTTAGTGTAAGAATGACTTTCCACATACTTGATTTCAGAATTCACTTTTTACTGCTTCTACTGACAAGTGCTTCAATTTTTACTGGTATCCTGACCATTGGTAGTGAGTAAGCAGTTAGGGTTAGGGTGAAACTATTTATTTTAATATTGCACACAGTGATACAATATTATTTGTTCAATGATGTTCCAAGCAGAAACTGTTCCTTGTAATCATAATCGTATTCAGTTTTGTTGTCTGCCCCTCATAGTTCTCTTGCTTTTCATTCTTTGAGTTAATGGGTATTAAGATTTTCCACACATCTGCAGTCTGTCCTGCATCAAGTTAACAGAATATAGGAACCTAGATAAATCTAGTAACGCTTAAATCAAGAAATGAGAAACAACGAAACTTCAAATGTGGATCAGAATGTTGTGTGAATACTTTATATGAATATGAGCAATAAATTCTGCTGGATACATCGTCTGGTAAATAACACTAAATTACTGTAAGCCTTCTCAGGTAAACTAATCCATAATAGGACAAACTTTGCCCTGAAAGTATATCTATTCTAATCACCACTATAAAGTAAGTGATTGCAAAATTGAATGGTCCCATAAGTTAATAGGACTGTCAAAAAGCTAGACCTAACCTGAGTATTTGTCTTCATAATCATGGTTGGCAAAACGATTTTTGTGGCTCCATTTGTAGATATTAACCGACTACTCTTTCAAATATTATAGTGGCTCGCGTTTACCTTCGACTTTATTCACCTTTTCTGAATGAGTTATTAATTTATTGGGAAACGTATTGATAATTATTGTAGTTGATTCGTCGCCTACTGTAAATAATACACATGAACAAGTTTTATATGCAGCTACTCTAGCACATTGGTTAACTCATTTAGAACTGATTCGCAGCAACTTACCAGATCATTCATCTGCTATGTTCAGTTATTTCCTCTGTATATGCATCAGATACTTTTATCACACACCGTTGACTTTCATAATATGAATTAAATTCTGGTTACATTTATAATATCTGCTGGTTGCTTGGAGATTAACTGAGATGGCCCTGGACTTGACAGCTTATCTTACTAATTTCTATCACTTATAACAGAAAATGCAGAAATCAAGGAACTAATGGTTGGTGAAATTCTCCATTCATAAGACAATAAATAGACTGCAAATAAAAAAGTAGTGATCGTCTGCTAACAATAATGCCATTTTGCTGTCCAACATTATCCCTCACCAACGATTACGTGAATAATAATTGAATGAATTATATCAGAAATAAGGAGATATTGAAGTCTTCAACCCCAATCAGTCAATAAACATTATGAATTCGATACTAGTAGGGGTTTCGTAGATTAAAATCAGTGTCCAGAAATTAGATACCTTATTAAAAATGTATAGGTAGTAATAGTTAAAAAAAAAAGTTTTCAAAAAACTATGCGCAGACTACAAGTGAAAATGTAATAAACGTCTATTAACAGCTTTTTCTACTGTCCAGCACTGCACGTCTCCGACGATTACGTGAATAATAGTTGAATGAATCATATCAGAAATAAGGAGAAATAAGCTCTAAGAAGTCATAACTGAAAATCTACATATTCAAGTCTTCAACCCCAATCAGTCAACAACCATTATGAATTCCATACGAGTATACCACTTTCAAGGATTCTGAAGTGTCCACTATTTAGCAAGCAATCAACACTGTGAAATGTCCACACATTGAAGTACTCATAATTCATATCATTTAAAATCACTCTGAGTAACTAGTGCATTAGAATGCTACACAGTATTCTGACACTTCCTCCAATACACTATCTTCCACCTCACTCACACTTAAGGAAAATATATTGGGGGATTTGGTAGGACTACTTTGTCATATGCACTCACAGTCCAGAGGATGGATGCTCACAACGTTACTTTAAATACCGAAGACTCTGAGTCTGATTCTGATTTCAGTCTGTTAGATGTAAACTAGTCTCTATGTTGCTTCCAAATAAGTCTAGTGAATACTTGATATGCATAGTTCTTAAACCAAGTACATTTTCTCTTCCATTTATTCATTTTCGTGACGAATTCACTGCGTAGTGAGTTAAAATTCACATCTGAACTAAGGGTCATTTCCCACTAGCTTCTTCACAAGTCCACAATTAAACAATCAAATTTGTTGAGACAGTAGTAACAAAGTTTGCTGGAAATGCATGCTATAGTGGATATGAAATTGTAGTTAGATTGATTTGAGTTTGTTTTCAATTCTGCCGTGACTTAGGTTTTCATCAAACCTTGAGTCGTCTCTCACCTTTTATAATTGAATCTAGATGTCGATTGCGAGTGTCGAATGACTGATGATTATTCATAGTGGATTTGTCTGTAGATATCATGGGGAAGTTCATGTCAAGCTTTCAATTTGTCTGCTGAGTGATTACTATGGAAATAGGATGGAGACTTCAAGGTTGAATAGTTCAGCCAGTGATATTGTTCAGATAGTGTGATGAAGAGACGGATAAGCGAATCATGCATAAATTCAACGAAATTGTTACGGTTTATTAAAACAAGATGCTGAAGGAGAAGTCTAAGCATGAAATTGTTTTTTTTTATATGGATAGATAAACATAAGGAAGTAGGAGTATTAGGTAGTCATTGAGAGGCTGGTGAAGTAATCAGACTCAAGCCTCAGCAAATGTATTGCGCTTGTAAACACTAACCACCTTGAGTGATAAAGGGAGAATGGAAATGCAACTTCAGCTCGGTAGTAAAATACACAACAGGGTCACAACATTTTATTTCTTTTGACAAATTCTTCAGACTTGTATGCAAATTGTAGCCAAGACACTCTAAAGGACTGAGATTTTGACGTTTGGGCATATGCCACACATTAGCAGTCGAAAAGTTTAAAACATCATTGTACATTCCAGAGAAGTGTGTACAACCTCATTGTTTGCTATGCTCATCATAAAAAATTGATCACTCTTAGTGATTCTTTTCTGACGTAACCATTTCTATTTTATAATCCTTTTGTTTATTACTCCATTTAAACGCCTATGAGCACTATGAAACTGTCGTATGTAATTCAGTTTATATTGCGTTTGGATAGAACTTATTCATGAAGAGACAGCTTAGATTATACCTTCGTGAGAAAATTTCTTCGCTGCAGTCGTCTTTTCTCTTTTCCTATGATCAGATGGGCTCTTTTATACTTGGGAATTTAAATTTGTTAACATAGGAACAGGAAAGTTTTCTGGAAATACTTTCTAGAACGGATATGAAATTACAATTAGATTGATTTAGGTTTGGTTTGAATTCTGCGATGACTCAGATTTTCATTTCATCTTCAATTGTCACTTCTTATGTGTTATATCTGCTTTGATATGCGTAAAATCCTGTCACTTTGTGCCGTATCAAGTAAACAATCTAATGTGAAGTTGACAGTTACATTGCATATTCTTCTTTAAAGTGGTAAACAGTTTATCACTTACATTACTAAACAAGATTTTCATTCACTTATACCTGAATGACTGTTGATTTTGAATTAGTTTTGTTCTTCAGTATTTCCATACGCCTTCTGTTTTGCTGCTTTGTCTGTTAAGCAGTTTGAAGACTAACGGATCAGAATATCATTCTTCCAAGTTATCAGAATTTACGTCTCATAAATCAGCCAACAAAGCTTTACGACAATAATCTTGCGGTCAATAGTTGGAATCCTATCATAAACCGAGCTTTCCATTTACCTTCATTTAATATACCTCTACATTAAAACACTGTATGAATCGAAACTCTCCCAGGAAATCTAATCCCAAACAAGAAAAAAATTATGTTTGTATGGAATATATAGACCATGATTTCTGCCTTTACTGATTTTTGGCAAACAGGTGTTTTTACTCTTTTTTGTTAGCCATTTCCATGGACTTGACAACCTTTTCCTCATCCCAAAAGCTCCGTAAATTACTGATATCAGTAGTTCTTCAACTAGTGTCCGTCTGAGATAAATACTACGTCGCATAACGTTTTCAAATATAGACCGAAAAATCCGGTAGTATTAATCGTTCTACAGTTGTTTCAGCTAATCAGGATCCCATAACTAATTTACCACATTTCAATTTTTTCACATTGCTATATCTCTTCCGCCCAACGTGTTCATTCCTCTTAAAAGATTTTAGACGTTAACAGACGCTGACTATCAATACTTTCACTTAGCTTCATAACTACGCTGACAGCCTAATAGATAACATTTGATCAGCGCTGAGACCTAAGTACTAGATAGCTACACGGTATGCCCTTGTAATAACGAGTTCTTGTACAGAGTATATTTCTGCATCTAATCAGTCATAACTTCAATGAATTTGTGGTGGTCTCTAAATTCAGCATCATTTGGCATAATTCCAAATCACTATGCATACAACAGTTTTCTCATGCTTGTATGTATAATTATATATAACATTTTCAATAAAACTAGTGACGAAAATGTTTCTTTTGAAAAAAAATACACAGACACACCAAGGATAAAGCAAACATTGTATCTTGATACAATGAAAGTACTATATATTGTATTAAGAACCAAGAAAGTAGTAATACGTGAATGAGTTTTTTTTGAATACATACAAGTAAT